CAGGGGTGTTACCATGCTAGTATATTACTGCAACTATCTTAAGGAAGGTTTGCCTTTAAGGTTGATGAGCACAGTGGATGGGGAGCAACAGATCAGCCCCAATGAGAGGTGTAATTTTGGTACTCTGACAAATTCCCTGTGGGCCTGTCTGAAAACAACAGTGTGAGTTAAAGCTAAATGTCACTTTGTTAAATATAAGCTCTATTTGTTTTTCTTAGCTATTGTGAAAATGGTTTCATGCACTGCAGTACAAACAGAGTTCCTGGTGCCTTCCTGACAGATGTTTTCGCTGATGAGAGGCCATCTGCCAGAAGTTAGTACGCCTTAAAAAATTAATATTTTTTTTCTGGTGGGTTTTTTTTTTTTTTTTTTCCTTTTTTTTCCCTCTTCAATCTCTTGGTAATCTAGAAAAGGGAAGAAGTACTCAAAGGTTGCAGTGGCTGGTGATGTTGTGAGTCTTTTTCTAACCTTCTTTTTGTTACAGGATAGAAACAAAATGTTTGTGTGGGAGGGTGTAGGGCTCATTGTGTCCCACCTCTCAAACTTATAGCTAGCCACTGCAGTCTCTCTTCAGCTGAAGAGGTTAAGGGGTCCCTTGGCAGTGATCTGAGGCCCCCAGTTGCTATGTGAGGGTCACACAACATCAGTAACTAGCCAGCTTTATAGCTCCTGGTCCTGACTAGCAGGTTGCAAGCTCTCCTTTCTGGTGTAAACAAAGCTTTTTGTGGCTAGAAGGTTAGAGTGCTGCCAGGCACTGAGTGTGCCCTCCAGCCACCAGGCATCTCGCTGTAAAACCTCCTGGAGACTGACAACTGCCTTGCAGAGCTAGGCACTGCATTGGAAAATAGGACATCAGTCGTCTGGGATTTTTTGAGGTTCCCCACTGATATATGGATGGAGCTTATGGAGTTGTGATGAGAGAGGGGGTCTTGGTAGACCACCAGTAATGCTGTCACTGGTTGGCCCCCTCTGTCCTTCAGGTGAAGCCCTCTAGGTGTATATCTCGCCAGACTCTTGCTGTAATGTAATTAAGACATAATGTTCCTGATACTAGTGCAGTAACACTTACAAAACCTCAGAGAGGCGTATTTCTACCATAGATTGAAATAATAACCTGGAGTTTCTTGGGAAATCCTGATCTTCTGTCAGAACCTGAGTTCTCAAAGAGTTTGAAAACTTTGTGTTTAAGCTAAGGGCATTGTTATTAACAGTCACCCATATAGTTATACTCTGTGTTGGAAGGGAGTCTAAACACAATGATATGTGGTGCTGTTGCTTCTCAGAACATCGATTTTGTGCTGACATTGCTAGTGTACTAGTGTACGCTGCCTACAGGTTGAAATATGTTTCACGCTGAAGTGTGCTTGTAGCCCTAGTGCAATCTGGAACTGAACCCTTGTGCAGCTTCTTTTGCTTCTGTATTAGAATACATGCTTTTATGATAGCCTAACTGAGGTCACTTCATGGGAAGTGGGGACTGTTACCTCTACGATGTCATGCATAGCGGTGTAGTGGTGTTGCTCCATTCTATATCCTAAATTAGTTTTCTAATAAAAATGTTGATTCTTCCTTTAGAAAAATACTGTGCTAACAATGCTTGAGTTCTAATTGCAACTTTTGTAAATCTGTTTTTTAAAGTAAAAAGAAGCTTGACATGCAGATCCCCCATGGAAAGACTTGTATGTCCTGCAAACAACCCAAGAGCTGAAGGGTTGGAGTGTGCCAAGACTTGCCAGAATTACGACTTGGAGTGCATCAGCCATGGCTGCGTATCTGGATGCCTCTGTCCAAAAGGGATGGTAAGCAGGCTCCACTTTGTTTTCTTGCCTTCATTTTTTCCTACCAGCAGTCATCTTGTGGCTTGGAAATATGTGGTTGTGAAGTATTGACTCTGCCAAATTGTGGCTGGTTTAAAAATATATATGTTAGAATATGTATATTAGAAGGTGAAGCTTAGCTTGTAATAATAATTGATAATCAAAAAGCCAAACCCCACTTTTTTTCAGACCAATTTATGTCTTCCTTCAACTTTCTTCCCAAACTCCTCCTCATTCTTGCTGAACTTCCCTAGTCAGAGAGACAGAAGTACACAGGCACCCATACCCCAAATACCCGCCTCACATCCAGCCAAACCATCCTGCTGATACTCGTTGCCTCCTTGTCAAGTATCCATCTCTGCTGCTGCCTCTCTGTGTGTTGTACCAAACTGAGTTCCCCATGAGAAGGCATGTGGGACATGAAACTTGCTAAGATGATGCTAGAGGGTGTCCTGGAGTTGCAGATGACGTGCTGAGCATGCTTTTTTGACTGGTAAGATGCTTTCTGGAGTCTAGGGTTATGTTCCCCTGCAACCCTCAAATTTAATTATTAGTTTAGTAATTTTTAAATAGAGCAAATAGTTATTTGCTAAGCCAGTGACTGTGAATTCAATATCAATTTAGAGCCCTGTTAAAAAGCAGATGGAGTAGAATAGACAGCAGATAGCTGCTGTTGTTCTCTGAGCAATAGAAAAAAGCATCAGTGTTCAGTGCTGTGCAACACTCTCTGGGCAGACAAAGAGTTGTGCACAGGATCTCACTGGGGGCTGGGTGTATAGTCCCAGGCATCATGTGAATAGGATAGATGTGGAGCACATGGTACACCATGAAGTTAAGTAAATAGCACTTTTGAGTTCTTTGTCCAGGAAAACTGCTGGGATTAAGACGTTTGTGATATTCAATGCATGAAAAGCAGGTGAAAAAACCTGGTAGACGCTGGAAAAAAGAGAGCAGAGGTTGTGTCTTTATTTTGTTTGAGGGATAAAATACTCTATAATTGTGAGACTTTATTTGATACCTGTGGTACTTAGAGACGTGTTAGTGCAGTTTTCTGACTCAGAGGGGCATATGGTAAAGCAAGATGTTTTCAGATACTGCAACCCAGGAAGTCTAGAAATGCAAAAGTTTACCTTTTTTTTTTTTTTTTTTTCCACTCTTTTATACCTGCTCCATTCCATGTGCATGTTCAGATTAATATGCACTGGACATCGACTGTTAGCAAATGAAGGTGTGGGTTATTGCTTCTAGGGTTGTGATGCATGTTTATGTTTAGGCTTCAGCTCTAATGAATTGACTTCATCCACTAGTTTCAATTCCATTTGAAAAAGTAATGAACTTTCCCTGGAACCATGTATTTTTATAAAAGTGTGTTGTTTTTTCTGCATCTGTATGAATACAGTTGTTTTCTCCCCCAGAATTCCTTCCATTGTGTTACTAGAAACAACAACAAAAAATAGAATTCTCATAACACAGCCATTTCTAGCATTAATATTCATGTATTTTTTTTAACTTTGCTACTGTATTTTGCTGATAAACACACATTTATGTAAATAGATGCTATAGCAGAATAAAATGCCAGCTGTAGACAAAATCTTAGGGTTATAAAGTATGTTGTAGGTCTGAAGTGAAAAATACAGAACATAATTTGAAGGCACTCATATCAACATTGAGCAAATTTTCACCACAGTTTTAAAACAAGTATTGCTCCTTTTCACATTTCTGTTTTTAAATGTCTTTCCTTTTAGAGAAGACTATTCCTCAATAGTAGTGTGACAAGTAAACTTACAAAAGTTTGTGTACCTATAAAGTTCCAAGAGCTCCAGTGTGAATAGGTCTTTCTCTGTCCATAACAAACAGGTCTCTTTGATTTGATGAAGGGGCTTGAGATTTGGTTTCAGTACCAGGATATGGTAATAGTACACTTTAGAGATAATAATGGAAAACAAATTATGATAACTACTCAACAGGAAAAAAAAGGGGGGGACACCCCCCTCCCCTCAAAACCTCCCCCAAATCAACTTCCTAGTAATTAACCTTCCCGTTTAGTATAGGTTTTCATATTCCTTTTCAGTAGGTTGGAACTATCATTCAAACAATTGTTTCATAAAATTCTTACCAAGAGAAGCAGTCTTTGGTATTTTGGAATTAGGAACTCCAGTTGACTCTGCAGTGATGTGAAACATGCCCCTGAATTCAACAAGATGGTTTGTCAGGTTTTGGATAGAAGAATTAGGCCCAGTATTTTTTAAAAAAAACTAGTCAAAGAAGTTCTTTGTCCGCTAGATGACAGTATGGTTCAATCTTCCAGTAAACTCAGTCTATAATAGCTCATTCTCATTGGCTTCCTGTCTGGCAGGGAACAAAAATTGAGATTTGCGTTTCTCAAAGCCACAATGGGAGAAGCCAGTATATAGACGATTTTGTTGTAAGCATGGCTATGCAAAGGCAGGATCAAGCTCGGTGCTTTCATTATGTGGGCGCCCTTTGCCATGCGTTAGATTCCTGGCATGTGGCTCCATGGGACCTGCCAGCTTGTTATCAAAAAAGCAGTTTTCTCCTC